AGGTCTCTTGTTCTTTCGTTTGGCTTTTGTTTCTGTTTTTCACCATTTTGGCTATCACAGTGGGCTTTGGAGTCTGCCAAATTTTCCCAGTGGGTGTTGGTGTTCTGCTGTTTGTGGCTCCCTCTCCTGAGTTTGGATGCGCCAGGGAGGACCCGCTTTAAACACCACCATCAAGTCTTAGCTTTTCTGGTTAGTGTTGATAGCCCAGGGAATGGTAGTTATCCTCTAGCTTTTTTTTTGCCTGGAGGCTATTAGTAGAGGTCACCTGCAGACCCTTCGTTTCTGAGTTTCCTGAAATACTCCCTCAGGTGCTCAGTGTAAGAGGATTTCCTGAGAGTGAGGCAGCTATTGGTTGTTAATGGGCCTCAATTAGCATTTCAATGGCCACCAGGTGGGGTTGAATCTCTGAGGGAGGGGCCGCCGCCTCTCCCCAGGGCCCTGGGAAGGAGTAAAATGACCACAGTCCTGCATGGCTGCACCCAAGGAAACCTCTTAGCACCCTCAAAATCCCGAGTGTCCCCACACAGTTCTAGTCCAGTCTGGCTTCCCTCTGCCGGAGTCCAAGGTGAGTGGCTGCTGCCAATTTAGCCTCTGTCCGGACTCTGCGCCGTGGAGTCGCCTTGGACTTTTAACCCGAGGGCGCTGCTTCCAGCCAAGGGAGGCTCGGCTGGAGCTCCAGCCAAGGGCGTTGCACTCAGCTGAAACCCCAGGACTGAGCCGCGGTAGTGGGACACTGCAGAGGTGGCAGTAGCATCCAGCACAGTCTCCTGGTCCCCACGAGTCTGTGTGGCACCAGCCGAGGGCTTAGCACGCAGAGTTCGCGGGACTCAGCCTTGGTAGCAGCATCCCACCGAGTCCCCTGGTACCCACGAGTCCGTGGGGCACCAGCCAAGGGCTTAACTTGCTTAAGTGCACCAGAGTTCTCAGGACCCATGCAGGGTGGCAAGGGAGGCGGTAGCAGTAACTTCCCGCCAAGTTCCCTGGTCCCTGCCCAGGCCGCTGCGGACTGTGGGCTCCTGGCCCCCTCTCGCGTCCTCACAAGCCTACCAGGATTGAGTCAGTGCTTCTGGTTATGTGATCCTCCAACATGTCTTTCGGTTGCCCCTTCCTGATGATTTGTCTTTATTTTTGTTGTAAATCCAGTTTGGTCCTGGGAGATGGTCTGTGTCACTCCATTCACTTCGCCGCCATTTCAGTTCTCCTCTATGTTATTTTAAATATTGTTTTTTTAATGTATTAGTACAGAGTCCTTTACAAATGACCTATATTACAAATATATTCTTCCACTGGCTTATTTTGCACTATCTTAATGGTATGTTTTAATAAACTAATGACACTAATTATTTTCCAGATTGCTAGTCTTTTCCAAATGGTTGTGCTTTGCTTTTTTTGTGTAAGAAATGTGTGCCTAACGATGTGAAGGCCTTTGTCTATGTTGCCCTTCACAGTTAGTTTTATTATCTATCCAGAATTTATTCTTTAGTATGGTGAAATCTATTCTGTTAAGGTAGGCTACTGATAACCAGTTTCACCCTATTCCCCTGAAAATCTTTTTATTTTTAACTACAATTTGAAAGAAACTTTTGTTAGGTACAAAATTTATATTGGAGATTTTTTCTTTCAGCACTTTCAAGATGGCATTGATTATCCCTGGCTCCCATTATTTCTGTTAAAAAGTCATCTATAAGTCCTATTGTCACTGTTTTAAATTAATGGATTTTTATTCACTAAATAATTATATATATATTTTTTTAAACCTTAGTTTTCAGCAGCTTTACATAAATTGGCTAAAGTGATGTTTGCTTTGTATTAATTCATAACATTTTTGAAACAATGATTTGACATCTTCCATTAATTTGGAAGAAATTATCAGTCATTATCTTTTAAAATATTGCTTTTGCCACATTACATATAGGATAGACCCTATCTCACATGTCTACTAACTCCTTTATGTATTTTTCAACAGTACTTTCTTCTTCTTTTTTTTTTTAATGTAGATTTAGGTTTACTAATTCATTCTTCAGTCATGTCTAATTGCTGCCAAATCCACCTATTAAATTGTTAACTTCAATTGTTTTATATGTTTTAGTTTTAGAAATTACATAAAACTTAAAATAGCCTCCCATTATCTGACCAACTTCTTTGCCATGAATATTTTCCAACTTGGAATTTAATTTTTCTGACTTGGAATTTAATTTTTCAATACATTAATCATTATTTTAGTTGTATCTGTATTATCTGGATCTCTGCTACGTCTCTGTCTCTATCTGTTGTTTTATTCTAATTTTTAGTGATTCGTTTTCATTCTTACGAAATGCCAGGTAATTTTTTTCAATGCAGAACACTATGTATAAAATATTGTAGTGATAATTTAGGCTGTGGGTGGTATAATCTTTTCCTAGAGAGGATTTATTTCTGTTTCTGGAAAGCAGGTAAGATAGAGCAGAGAACTGTAATATAATTTGGAGTTGGATTGATTAAAAGTTGGACTTCAGCTTTTGTTTTTGTTTCTTAGTGTTTTTGTTTTTGTTTTGAAGTTGATCAAAGACCTTTATTCTGATCCTCATTATTTGTTAAGCAACCTACACAAAGCATTTTCTTTATTTCCACCCCGAGCAGCAGCTGCTGCATCCAGGCCTACAGTGGAAGACACAAATAGCAGGAGACCTTGTAGAGAAAAGCTAAGCTGTGTGATCTCTGCTATCTCAGCTACAGTGAAGGCAGAATAGCAAAAGTGTATAAGTACAATATTTCAAAGACTTTGTTCTTCAAAGCTGAGGCCTACAACAGAGGAACTAGCTAAAAGACACAAAAGTACCCAGCTCAGCAATCTGAAAAGAAAAAGAAAAAAAAAAAAAAACAGCTCATGGACTTCCTTTTTCAAAGAACTGGTCTAATGCAAGTTCCTCCTTGCCCCCAGAGTGTAACCCTTCAGGAGACCCTACAGAAAACTGGAGGACCTTATCAGGGTACCTTTATCTTCGGGGGCTCTGACCTCCAAGTTTTGCCCCTCCTTCTTGTCCCCACCCCTTCAAACCTCTTAAGACTTCTGGAGGCTCTGTTCAACTTCTTGGCACACGTGGAATTTCACTCACTATTTTGCACCTCCTCAAGTGTGTGCTACATTGATGGGTCTCTGGTGCCTTAAAACAATGTCTTATATAATCTTTCCAGTATGTCTAGCTGTTTTTGGTAATAGGGTTAGGCTACATCATAGCAGTGTACCTTAGGCAGAAATTCCTTTCTCAATGTGATTTCAATTTGTATTTCCTTCATTATTAGCAAAGTGTCTATTTTTAGTTCTTTAGGTAGTAAAGATATTTAACCCCTTGTCTATGATAAAAGGTATAAATATTTTCCCTTAATTTGTAACCTTTCTTTTTTTAAACTTTGCTTATGGTATTTTTTCCATCCCAAATTTATTATGCTTATATCAAGTCAAATAGTTCCCTTTTTTATTATTACTTCTGTGTTTTCATACATAATGAGCAAAGATTTTCTGCCCCCAGGCTTGGAGAAATCCATCAATGTTTTTTTCTGTAATTATGTATTTAAGGAACATGTTGATGAACAGTTGAAAAATGGTCCACTTTTTAGAATTGCAGAATGAGAAAGAATATGATAGGGTGTTAAGTCCAGCTGGAAGTTTCAAATTTGTTTTCCCTTCCTCATCCCCAGAAACTAATGAAAAGAACTCAGACACAGTTACTTTCATGTTATTCTGAAGGGCTTGGGAGCCTAGGAGTCTTTTATTTCGTCCTGTGTTATCCTTTACTTGACTTCTCTCTTATCATCAGTGTTACTTCTATACTGATGTTTCCCAAATACATGCATGTCTAATTTATGATTCTCTTCCTCCACACTGGATGAAAAGCTTGTTTGGCATCTCCACTTAAATGACCCAGCATTTTAGACTTCAAATCTAAAATGTTTTCACTTTCCTCAAATCGGCTTGTTTTATATGCCTTCAAGCACTGACCTCTCTATCATCCATCCACCCAGACTCAGAGACTGGTCACATTTGAGTCATACTTCCTTATTGTCAGTAAATCATTACAAGAATGCAAGTTCTGTCTTTGAAGATATTTTCCTTTGAAGAAATTATAACCTGTACCTTTCCCATCCTTGGTTCGTTCTCACCCACAGGCATGTCACATTGAACGTACTGCAGGCTCAATATGTACTCATGTACTAAAAATTAATTTAATCTTCTGTTTATAAAATCACAGACATAGTTAAACTCTGAAATCATGGATTTTCCAGCACATTATCTGTATGTGTATTTGTGTTTTCAAATGCTCTGGCTCTTCAAGTTATGAAAACATAATAGATACCCAACTAACAAGTAAGAGGATATTGAGTATATGGAAAATTTCTCGCCATAAAAAATATTCCCTTACTGCTACATTTAAGCATGTGACACTGCTTCAGTCACAGCAAGGGGATGACATGCCTTCGGAGACTGCAGATAGAGAACAATCACAAGGGAAATCAAGACGGGACTCGCAGCAATCTAAACTGACAGCCTCTGAGAGGGCTCCTGGGGAAGCACCTGAGCCATGCATTTGTCTTTTAACAGAAACTGGCCGCCAGGAGAATGAATCTTTCTGCTCTCAGGCATGCCTGGGGCAAAGTAGGTTTTCTTGTCTCTCTTCAAAGATTAAGCTACATAAACTTACATATATACAAATTTTCCTACATTTAAATTGTAGGTTGTTCTGACTAAACCAAGTTTCTCTAGTCATGCTACTAGATTTCTAATTTTAAAAATTGGGTATGTATGTATGTGATTGTCTCACCAGTTAGAAAATATACAAGATGACAGCACTACAGTATTCCAGCAACTCAAACCACTATTTCCTCCTTTAACTTTTTTCTACAAAAGAAGTTGAATCCCAGGAGTGTTTTTAAATTTGAGAGGGCAATGGAGGGTAACAACTGGCGGTCAGACTGTTCTAATTCTCTATTAATCAAGGGACTATCTTCTCTCCCTTTTTCAGCTCAAGGCAAGGACACGCCTAGAGTTTCTGTGAAAAACCAAGGTTCCCGTGACACAGAAAACTCCACAGGTCCTGATGGTAAGGTTCTAAGTGCTCTGGGCTCATGCCGTCTACAAATCTGGCACATATTTTGTGTGCAATCCAGGATTAAGGGAGCTCTCTATTCTATGAATCAACTTATTCAGTTAGAACAAGGTAAAGTTCAAAAACCATTTTCTACTAGGAACTAATAAAATTGGCAGCCTTTTTATCGCTGACTCAAGTTCAGTTTAAAAAAACAGCATGTGACTCAGTTTAATTGTAACTTTCAAAAATGAGACCACACTGGGGAATTCCAAGGTTTACCTGGACTACATGAAGTCTAGCTGGTAACTTTGCGGAAATACCTCTTACTTCTGCAAACAGTGCTTGTTCTGCTGTTACCTCTGCCACACTCTGAAGTCTTGGCTCGAGCTTGGGCTAAGGTTGTTCTTGGGCCTTTGTCACTTTACCTTACTACTGCATCACCTCAGATGTCTTGGCCAAAAACTTACTGAGTCTTTAACAACACCCTAGAAATAAATTTACAAAATCCTTTTTTTATTCACATCTCATTTTGAAAGCATCTAAAGATTCTGAGCCTCTGGAATCTGTGCATACCCTTTCTCCTGCTGGAAGTCATTACTTGCATTAGAAAAAAGTACTATTTGAGCACACATGATTTAATAAATATTTCATTCCTCTGCCCCAGAGAACTGAGGAGAACCAGAGTTGATCAATGATCAACTGTATAATATATATAATAACTTTTATTATATATATATATATATATACACATATATATATATTACTGTTAGAGTTATTTTAGCCAAAAGGGAAAAGAACAGCAAATTACTTTGAGTTGATAATGACCTCAGAAAAAAATCAGCCATTGGTAGAAGTTACTTGGTGATTTTATATAGAGTTTCCTATAGTACTGGGTATTTTCCCCCTGCTATAGGCCCTTTTTCACAAACTAATTTTTCATTCATGAGCATACATTATGTAGAAGAAGAATATTTTTAATTACCAGATCCATCCATTAAAAGCTACCACATGTTAGTCATGTTCAGTTGAATAAAACTTGCCCAGCCTGGTTTTGCCTCTATCGATATAGTTCTTTACTAATTTTTACAAAGCAGTTCTGAAGAACACCAAGTCTATACAATGCTCATTGAATAAAAGGGAAATAAATTTGAGAAATACTAAATATTAGTCCTTACTTGGAGATTTACCATGCATATTACAGGCTCTCACAATTCTCAGCTGTAAAGAAATGTATTAACATGGTTTAAAGTTGCTTTTCCCAAATGTATTTGAATGCTTTATATATAACATTTGTTCATAGGTTTTGGAACTAGTGAACCTTGAGTTAGAGGAAGAAACAGAAAAGGAATACTCTATTATATTTGTTATGCTCCCACACTGAGATGGGCAACTAAAAATAACATTGTAGACAAGGATTGAAAGTAAATATATTATTCTCTTTAGATATATATAAAATTTCTGATTCTGGCCAGTTTACACCTGGGTGTAGAATGAGCTCACACATCATTAGAAACCAAGGCTAGTGTGTGAGACCAAAGAGACCTGTTTTCAAACCTTGCTCCTTGAGAGAGTTGGGTGGGACGCCCTGCAATGTCATCCCTCTCTTTCAAGGCTCTTTGGAGAGTGAAAACCAGCATCTGCCACTATTTTACTTTAGTAAAGAGTTCATGTTTAAGAAAAACTGAATGGATTGTTAATTTTGTGGAAATAAATAAAGGCTACCCAAATGAGAACACACAAAGGTTACTTATTCAGACCATACAGAAATGTCGGCCATTATCACTTGTGTTTGTTTGGCCAACTCAAAGGCAAGCAGGGAAGTAAGAAACTTTTATACTTAACAAAAGGGAAGGCTCAAAACATCCTCTGGTGGGGGTTCTTGGCACAGGGAAGCAGGACTCGGGCTAAGTAGAAAAGGGGCATCTTAGGTGACTGACTTGGGGACATACTTTGCTTTTCCTGGTTGAGGTAAATATAGGGAAACTGGCAGTCACTGATTATTCTGAGCTAATTGTTGCAGAGGTTGTGGTTTGGTTGTCCAGGCTGATTGCTACAGAGGTTTTAAGTCAGAATTCTATTGTTATATATGGTCTAGCCATTGTCCATTTGTATATTGTTTCTCAGTTTATAATATGGGCTTTAATGCTTTAAAAATATCAACCTAATTAAACCAATAACCCTTGAAAATTTTCACAGTGATTGCTATGCCTGCTCTTGGCTACTTCTGGGCAATGGCAGTAATTACACATTCCATTTGTATGCAAATGAGCACGTAGAACAACACACAGTAAAGTAAAAGCACAGGTTTTGTTTGATCATTGCTGTGTGATCTGGTCAAATATTTCACTTTTTTTGTTTAATGGAACACATGCTGCTGCAGCCAATGGCTAGTTTATAAGGTCTATTTTGAATTTCAAGATTGAAAACATGGCAAAACAAAAAGGCCTATTGACATAGCCCTTTCAAAGGGAGCTGCTTACCTCTCTTCAGGTCAATAAACTCTTTTGCTTAGCTTGCTGTTTATTTTCTTATACATGTGTTAAGTAAGGCCTTTGAATTAGCTAAGGATGGTAATAAACATACCCAAAATATCAACCCAAAAATCTGGTATGAAATGACAACTTAGCTTCTACAATTCAGTAAAAAGGCAATTCTGTCCTCCCCATTTCTCTCCAGTAAAAATCCACAAGAATGATCCCAAAATTGTAAAGAAATGAAAATGAGCTGAAAAGAGGTATAAGATAGGAAATCAGAAATGTATCACCTCATAGATCATTTTACTGAGTTTAGAAATTTGGTTTTAATAAATAATTAACCTTTTTGTTTTTCTTTCTGGTTACAGTTGAAATGATTAGTCAGGTTGACAGTGTAAATGACCCAACAGAGAGTCAGCAAGATTAACTAATAGGTAAGTTGCCCTGTGGTGGGATTTTCAATTGTTTAAACTGGTCAGAGGAACTGTTTGTAAATGGCACATTGGATTTCCCTTGTCTCTACCAGGTCCCACAGCATGGATCAGGCTAAACTTTGAAAATCGTTATACCAGATAACACAGAGTAAGGAGTTAGGATTTCCATAGAAGTTTTCTATCTTTGAGAGAAAAAGAAAAGCCATAGATATTCAAATCATGCAGTACTCTGGTTGTCTGAGCTTTGACAAGAAAAAATGGTTTTCCATCCACCTCACCCCCTGGCCTCCTGGAGTGATTAAATCATTTCAGCAGTCCTAGCTGATTCTGAAGTATTACTTTTCCAGAATTTACCTGCTGAGTTGTTTTAGTATATCTTTTTGTAAGCATAACAACTAAATCTTTCCCCTGGAGAATGTGTAAAGACCCTTGAGTGTGTTTGGGCAGAAAGGAGCCTGTCTTATATCCTAACCTCCCGCAGCACTACTTATGGATCTGTGCGTCTGCACAGAGGTTTGTTGAGTTGAATGAGCCTCGGGGAACCCCCGAGGAAAATAAAAGTCTGGGCCAGACCATATTTAGGACTTGTTTCAGACCAACACACTAAATCTCCCAGCAGAGACTGAAGTATATCTAGAATGATTAGTGGTCTGTTACCCTTTTTTCATATCTTGAGGGCTGGTGAGAAGAATTAGAGGAAAGAAGTCAGGCTTGCTATTCCAATTCCTAGCTTAAAATATTTATCTAGGCAGGGGAACCTATGGAATAAATGAATTGTGAGTTGTCTAGTGTGTGAGACACAAATGTGTTGACACTATTGCCTCCAGCACCTCCCTACACTCCCCGTATCTTCTCAGAAGGTCTCTGCACTCCCCCAGGAGGTCCTGTGTACCAGATTCTTGAGCTTCTTCAACACAGCAGAATAATGTTTGAGAATGTGTGAAAATACACACACATTTGTCCTTCCCATCATGATCTTGAACATCATTTAAAACTAAATATAATATTTGCATAATGCATGTATAGCATAGGACTGCTAAAAATTATAAACACATGCAAACATAATCTTATAAACATTTCTTCTCTTTTTTTATTGTTAACCTCATTCATGTATTTTAAATATCCTGCTAAGCTGCAAAAATAATATGGTAAAGAAGTTTCCATTAAAAAGTAATGAAGTGAGACTAAACCCGAAAATTTTAAATGGCAAGTTCTTCAGTGTTGCTTTACCTTTTGCCCTTTTGTTGGCAACAAAATGTGGACTACTTGTCTAGATTTTTTTCTTATAAACACTTTTATTTTCCTGTGTGATCAATTTTCAGATATAGTACCAGGACAAATCTGTTTTCCTTGGTAAATGTCAAAATATTTTTCTTGACCATAAGCACCAGTTTATACCTTTACCCAAATGAGTAAGTTGTCAAAACCTAAAGTTCAAAATTAGTTTAAGGAAACAATTCCAGGAAGAGAAGGGCCTTCTACAGGGTCACTTCGCTAGTCAATGGAAGTTTACATACTCCCAGTACAAAATTCTCTGATGACACCATATTGCTCCTCAAACAATAGTAAGTTCTTGAACACAGTTGTCACAGAGAACAGTATGACGTGAGGAATTTCCCTGGTCCCTACAGCAATATTAGACAGTTAGGTTTGTAGAGGTTATCTGGTAGTTCACCAGGAAGATATCATACCTTCAAGGAAATTAAAGAACTACAGTGAAATTGATTAGAATTATGAAGGTCAAAGATATAACACAAAATGTTTTATGTTGTATAATTTATAATTGTAAAAATCCAGGATATCACAAAGAACAATCAGGAAATGAGTTAATGAATAAATAGAAAACATAAAATAATTTTAATAAGTATTTGCAAGCTTATAAAGATGGTTATGGAACTAGAGGAATATGGCAGGCAGAGGGGGTTGTGGTTTCCAGTTCAGGAAGTAAGAGGCCTTATAACTTTCATTTTTGCTCACCCAGAACGCTTGCTCCTGGAATCCAGACACCTTGCAGGAAGCTCAGGCTCTTCTATAGAATGAGAAAGGCCACGTGGAGAGAAACTCAGAGGTCTTCTTGATGTTCTGGCCCTAGTAGATACCACCTGGAGCAGATAAACTGCCCAGCTGAGGCCAGGCCAAATGATAGAATCATAAGAAATAATAAATAATTGATCTTTATAGCCACTAAGTTTTAGAATTGTTTGTAATGTAGTGATAGGTAACTGAAATAATGGGAACAGTACAGAAACCCTCCCAAAACAAATGCTTATAAATGAGAGATAAACTATAATAAAACTATTTTAAAGTACAAAACTCAACTGACATGAAAGCAAAGGTGCCAGAAGCAGAGGCAGGTGAGAGCCAAGCAGCGGCCTGGCGAGCTGGAGACGCCGCGGTCCGAGGGCTACAGACCTGTTGTTGATGACGAGAGAGGCCCTGTACCCAGTCAGCACGTGTACAGGAGGCAACCCATTGATGTTTCTCTCTCACACCGATATTTCTCTCTCTAAAATCAATGAAAACACCTATTCTCTAGTGAGGATTTAGAAAAAAATAATATTCCTTGCTAAGCCTATGAAGGTAGTTTGTCTTTAATCTAACAAGTGTTTTCTCCTTGTCTTTGGCAGGGGCACAAGATGAAGCAAAGGAACAAGGAAATGAAGTAAATGCCAGTCCTCAGCACTGCAGCCTCTGCTGGCCCTGGGGAGAAGAGGGACGATGGCAGCCCTGCTGTGGAGGAGGGTGGGGGTGGGGGGAGGCAAGATCCAGCAAGGACGGGAACCCTTTGCTCTAATTTCTCAGCTGCATTTTGTTCTACCTGCAGAAAAAGAAGAAAGAAAAAAAAAAAGAATTTTTCTTTAACTTGGTGGGGTTACCCACATTAACACATCTTTCAGGATCTATTATTGTAATTTCTGTCTTTTCTCTCACAACTCTGCCCCAGGGTCTTGGTTTAGCACTCTGCTGTGTGTCCTGGGCCCTGTCTGCTTTCTCGGTTATTTCACAAAGCTGGTCGTACAGTGGTTTCTTCAAAGAAAGGAAGGAAGATGATGGTTTGATAAAGCTGCAGGCCAAATTTATGGAATCACCAAGCCCGATATCAGTATAATCCACAGGCAAAGAAGGCTGGATAGAAAATGGGCACAGCCCTCAGAAATCACTTGGAAAAGGTCAGGATGATGAATTGAAAATGACTCCTTCAGGGATTCCCAAGGTACAGTTTGCAGTTTTGTTCCATGTGATTAACGAGGAATATGACAGCAGGGCTTTACCCAAGCAGAGCACAGGTGCACCGAGCAAGGCGGCCCCGGCAGCCTCAGCAGGACAGCGGGGCTGTTCTTTGAGGCGCCCTCTCAGCGGACCTTCCCCAGTGAGGTCTTCACCAAGTGCTTCAGCACGGAGCCCCCAGGGAGTTGTGAGTCTGCGCGACACCATGGTAAGGGATGACACTTTTCCAGGTGTGTTAGTTAAGAGAGGGGACTACTTCCCTTAGGATCCAAACGTAGGCCCGCTATATTAAAGGTTCCACTTGAAATCTCTCTTTATACCTGTGCTTTTCATAAAAGAACACATTATTTATCCTTACCCAAATTTGATGGCCCACAGAGCAGATTCTCACTTGAAGTCACAGGCAGTTAGAGGTCTTGCTTGCAATGTTGACTTCCTGGTTCCTTTCAACTGGGGAGGCTTGCCCATGCCAAGTCCAAGACTCATATGAAAGCTGGCCCCCTCTCTCAGCAGATTATGACCTTTAGAGGGAGCAGCAGACTAATGAGCCAAGGCGCCAGAAGTGCAGTGGGCACAGTGATGAAGGGCCCAGGAAAAAGTCAGAGTTGTCATAAATGTCTGTCCCAGAGCCGACATGAACAACCCTGGGGGGTGAGATGGCTGCTTCCCACAGCCTCCCTGGGTTCTAAGACCTTCTGCTTTTTTCTGTGGACACTGTTATTTCTTGCATATCTTCTTAAATCCATCTTTCTTGTAAGAGCTTTAGAATTGTAAGTTATTTATATATTTTTCCTTAGTAGTGGGATAAAAGTAATGCATCAAATTGAGTATTTCTAAAATAAAATATTTAGAAAGTATTTCTACTTTCTAAATATTACAGAATTCTTCAGTTTTGCCCTTTCCTCTATGGAAATTCAACTTCTTATCTTCCTATGGATTTTGTGTTGGCCTTTCTGAATTTGTTGCCCTTCTGCATCATCATTTGGTATACTGGAGTCAACAGCAGGCTATAGCTATGCATACATCATATGTTCTATAACATCCCATATTGTTTTTTAAACGCTGCTCATCAACCTAGTAGCTGCTTACATGGCCTCATGATTTTGGAACATGGACGTTTCTCCTTCTGCATTTATTCTACAGTCCTCCACTGCCATTAGACATTGCTTTCTAGAGAAAAGAAGAAAAAGGTTCATTTTAAATAATTCAAGAAATGATGCCATATCGATACTATTTTTTTTATATTTTATGTCATCTTTATTATTTAATTGAAAGTCACCATCATTCTTCTGAAGCACTTGACAAGTGCAATCTGTTAGGAGCACACTTTCCTGTGACTCCCAAACAGTAGTGCAACACATGATGGAGAAAAGGTGGTGGAGATTTTTGATGAAAGAAGATGAAAGAGCCCTAATGTCCCTGCCAGGGACAGTTGAGATTAAAATTATTTCAGTTTTGGTATTTATTTCTTTTCAGTGCGGGGGAGGGTAGGAAGGCGGTCTCTGCCTGAAAACTGTAGAGAAGGAAGGTAAGCTTTGTGTCCAGGAAACTAAGAGAAGGAGGAGTAAATGTCATCAGCCCCACTCCTAAATTTGTTTAAACTTCATTAAATGATTAAACTGTGTTTTAATTTTTGTTTTATTATGCTTTTTGATTGCTATTGGGCTATAAGATTTTATGCTTTAAAATAAACAATGAAGTTAATTTTCATTTGAATAGTAAGATATTGAAAATCTAGCCATGGGCCAGATCGAAGACAGCTCAGCACCAGAAATCTTTATTTCGCTGGCACAGTCACCACACAGGCTGAACAGCGGGAAGTTGGAAAGGCCGCGTGGTTCTCCTACACATGAATTCTGGGTGTCAATTTCCAGCCACACTGCAGCCCAGCTCCGTGGCAGGAGGGGTGACAGGAGCAGGGGTGGGGGACTACCCCATATTAGTCATGTTTGCATACAGAGGATCGAAGTAGGCCTTCAGCATAATAGTTCTAATTAAAAAGGTACTGGTTGTAAGAGAGACAAAGGGCTTGTCCTCTAGCTGGTAACTATTCAGATGATGGACGATTCTTCTTTCAAAAAATTAACAAAGGAGGCATCCGAGACACTGGCTATGGTACTGGGTAACATATTAGTCACTGCAGCTAATTGCAACTCTTTCTGTAAAACACTGAAAAGCCTCTTTGTGAATTAATGCACTTCTGCTTGATGCACTTGATCTGAAATGACATTTCCCTGTATGTGGTGCATGTCGGCTTTGCTTTGAAAAATAACACAGTTAGCAGAATGTTTAATATATTTTCTTGGGGAATAGGGTTTTTATCATATGACTCATTAAGGATTTGCCTTACCCTGACATTTGTGATATAAAGGAAAATCAGAAAAAAAGTAATTTTCTTGATCAAGATATGTTTTTACTTAATGCAAATAAATGTAGTCTGTTGCTTGCAAGGAAAAATATGTCTTCTGATATCTGGTATAAACTGCTAAATAGAATGACACGTGCCTCTTATGTTAAACCAGCATTTAAATGCTGGACTGCTTCTATATCTGTCTGTTTCTTTTCATCTTTGCCATACACTAAGAAACTTAAACAACTGTTGCCTTCATACTATATTTGTTAGAGCAGAATACAAATAAAATTGTTTGAGAGGATAAGGTGGAATTATCTATGTCTTGTGAAATTTATCATGAGCAATTCATGACTTAAAATGTTCATTTAATACTTTATTTTTGGTTGCAAATATATGTATTTAAACTGCCCTGTTAAATCAACAGTCACTTGCCAGTAGTCTTCCCTTTCTAACGCTGGTTGAAGTTTTGTCCATGTTTTTCCACTATAAACTGTAGAGTAGTTTGTACAGACACAAATCCCAATGTGTGACTGTCCTCTGAACACTAGATGGTCAGTCATCCTAACAGCAGCCTTTGAGGTGCAAGATAGAAGTTGTTAAGATGAAGTCAATTCAATTGTTCCCTGAATATTAGTCCATCCTTTGGAACCCACCAATGATTCCTTTAAATTTATATTTCATTGTTGACAGTATTACAGATGTCCCCCATAGCCCTCCTTGTCCCCCTCCACCCAGGTTGCTGACTGTGAATCTCCACCCTGACAACACTGTGCAAACTGTTACAGAGGTGGTGCTGACAGAGCAAAGCCAACCAAAGTGAAAATACATACAAAAAAACAAAACAACAGTAACAAAACAACAACCACAACAAAACAGACGGAAAAGAGAACACTGAAAGACATGAGGCCCAAAGAATTAGAGGAGAGAAATAAAATAAAATAAGAAAAATAACAGAATATGAAAGAAAATAAATAGAATAAGAATAAAAAGAAAAAGAAATAAAAATATAAATGAAATAGTTAAAAGTAATAATAATAAATGAAATAAAATATAAAATAGCAATAGAAAAACAGGAAAATGAAAAAGAAAATAAAAAAGTAACAAAATAAAAATGAAAAGAGAAAAAAAGAATAGTCTAAAAGAAATGAGAGAAATAAGAGAATATGAAAGAAAAACTGCAAGCAAGAGAAAGAGAAAAAAATTGTTTACATCTTTTGGACCTCCTATTTGTGGAGTTCACTGCATTTTGTTCTGATGTGTTGAATCTGGCCCCTTGGTGTGTTGGCCCCAGGCCACCGGGAAGGTTCTCCAGTGCAAGCCAAGGTGTGCCGCTGTCCTTGCCTTGCGCCTGGGCAACCTGACTGGAGCACAGCAGGGTGGAACCAAGCAGTCTGGTGGGTGGGGCCTGCACAGCCCAGAGCCTGGGTCTGTCTGGGTCTCATGCCTGGAATGTCCCTGTTCTGAGCTGCTCTCCTTATCCTGTGGAACTGGGCTCTCAAGGGTGTCTGTGTCCTGGCCAGGATGGTTTAACAGACTCTAGTTGGGGATGGTGCCTACAGCTTATAGGAGGACAAGTCAGGCACTTCTCCTTCCAATGCCTCGGCTCTGCCTGGGTCACTGGCATATCCCTCATTGCCATCCCAAGCAGGGAAGGATATAGAAATAAATGAATAATAAATAAATAAATTGCCCTGGCTGGTTTGGCTCAGCGGTTACCTCGGGTGAGGATAAAAATAAATAAATAAATAAATAAATAAATAATAAATAAATAAATAAAAATAAGACCAGCCTCACTTGGCACTGCACTCTTTCAGCACCGCCAGCCCTCGTTGGACAGGGCCTCTGCCCAGGCCCTAGGCCAGATGCCGAGTCCCCCATGCTGCCAGGCCCAGCTACTTGGGTGCAGATTTCCAGCCCAGAGTTGCTCTGCAGGTGGGGGAAGGAGTGCCTGCCCAGGGCTCGGGTTGGGGAGTAGTGGTACTCTTTTCCGGGGCACTATGTTTGGCCTCCATCCTGCTCTCCATCAAAAGTTCTTTCAGAGAATAAACGGTCCCTCAGGTTCACTGCTGGGTGAACCAGTCAGGCTCTTCCG